AACCTGAAGGCGGGAACAGATTCAGTTTCCGAAACGTTGCGTTCTTGAGCGTTTTTTAGATTACGGGAAGATGGACACTCACTCATGGAGCTGAGTCCTTCTTGAGAAGCTACCAATTTTGCAGCTACTCAAGAAATTCCCAGCATTTTATGGAACCATAAGGTCCATTACTGTATTCACAAGACCCCTCCAGCGGTCCCTACCCCGAGCCAGATCAATCCAATCCATACCACCACATTCCATCTCTCTAAGATCCATTTTAATATTGTCCACCCACCTACGCCTTGATCTTCCCAGTGGTCTCTTTCATTCTGGCTTTCCCACCAATATCCTATACGCATTCCTCGTCTCCCCCATTCGTGCTACATGCGCTGCCCATCTCATCCTCCTTGATTTGATCATTCTAATTATACTTGGAGAAGAGTACATGTTATGAAGCTCCTCATTATGCAGTTTTCTCCAGCCTCCTGTCACTTCAGCCCTCTTCGGTCCAAATGTTCTCCTCAACACCCTGTTCTCAAACACTCTCAGTCTGTGTTCCTCCCGTAATGTCAGAGACCAAGTTCTACACCCATACAGAACCACAGGCAAAATTATAGTTTTGTGTACTTTAATTTTTATGTTTTTGGACAGCAGACGAGAAGCCAAAAGATTCTGGACTGAATGGTAGCAAGCATTACCCGAATTGAATCCCCTCTTAATTTCCTCCTCAACCAGGTTTTGATTTGTTATCATCGTTCACAAATATCTGAACTGTGCCACATTTTCATGGGAAGCTGGACAAAGTCCGAAAACACAGTAATTCCGACTGTTATACGGCACTGCAGAACCCTTTATAATATGAGTATTCATTTATATTTTCTGATGTATCTGTGTATTTATTTAACATACGAGTATTTTATTCCTAGACTTATTTATTTATTTGCGTCCTTTTTTATAGTTTAGAATCTTTTATAGCTGTTTAACGACGCTTTCGGTAGCTCAGAATATGTATGTAGCATGGGAGGCACGCGATAGCTTAGTTGGTTGAGGCACTATGCTACAAGCAGGAAGTTCGCGGGTTCGAGTCCCGATGTGGTGGATTTTTTCAGTTCACCTAATCCTTCCAACCGCACTATGGCCCTGGGTTCCACTGAGCCTCTAACAGAAATGAGCACCATGAATCTTCCTTGGGGGGGGGGAAAGGGCGGTCGGCGCGTAAGGCTGACAACCTCACCGCCATCTGTGAACTGATTGTCTAGAAAATGTGGGAGCCTCGACGTCTCACAAGGCTATGGGCCTTCACGGCCTGTTACAGGGACAGCTGTATCTTTCTTTCATATGTGTAGCATGGAATGGTGGGGTGATCAATGAATAATGAATTGCAAGGGATGTGGACCCAATTAATCGTAGCCTAGTTGAGGTACTACCGCGGCATTTGCTTGAAGTGACAAATAAAACCACGAAAAATTTATTTCGTGTGACACTACAGACGTTTCTCTTCCTCTCAGTGTCTGGACCGGCTCTGCAGCCCACCCAACGCTCTATTCAATGGTTACCAAAGGCTCTTTCCCTGGAGTTAAAGCTGCCTGGGCGTGAAGCTGCCTACCCACATCTAGTGCCTTGGTTAAAAGTATGTGGATGTATACGTTTACTGTCCCATACATCTTCAGTGTAGGGTGCTTAATTAAGGACACAAAGAATGTCGGTGTTCTAGTCCCGATTAGGTGTATTTTTCAATTTACCTAAATCTTCAAGCCGCACTATGGCCCTGGGGCGGACTGAGCCCCTAATAGAAATGGGTACCAGGAATCTACCTTGGAGGGGGGGGGGAAGGGTGGCCGGCGCGTAAGGCTGACAGCTTCACCGCCATCTGTGAGCCAATTGTCTAGAGAAAATGATGTGGGAGCCTCGACGTCTCAGAACCCTATGGGCCCCCATGGCCTGTTACAGGGGTAGCTTTACATTTACCTTTTTGTACTGTTAAGAGGTTACATGCAAACAGATGGACAAATTTGGTAATAGGTGCGTTTGCCGTCGCATCTTCTGTTTGGCAGTGCAAATGCCCGCTCGATATGCAAGGAAACAGATGACGAGTAAACACGTCATTGCGCTCGCTGACCGTGAACCGATCTTCTGGATGTGTGGTCGCGTGTGCATGGGAGTGGCCCGGTCACTTTAAAGTGGATACCAGGCTCTGTGCGGAAATGCAACTCCTACACCCGTTTGCCGTTTAAGTACACAGTGTTCTGCGGATAGAATTGAAACAAGGTAGAGGCGAGGCATCGTAGGAGCTTGGACAACGCTCTCATTCTTCCTAGTGGAGCTTATTTTACAACTCTGTCAGTATATTGGCTCTATATTGTCGAATAGTGGGGCGACTGATGGATCGGAGATTTCAACCGAAGCGTTCGCTTACAAATCGTTTTACTATCACATTATTTGCTTGAAGGGACTGAGGAAGATCACGCCTTAGACAGGATAGCTGGTGTCCCTAATGGGATGCGAAGAGAGTACCTCCGGAATACTCGTACAAGTCTAGAGAGTTACCTTTACGCTAACCTGCTCGATTATAATGCTTTCGATGGCATTGACTTAATACGTATCGTTAGAAGAGTGTTCTTCTGAAAATTAATTTTCAGAAAATATTGTACAAGAGGATAGGCAACAGACATGCGCTTATATGAAGCAACGTGTACCCTAGCGCCAAACTTGACAATGTTTCCGGACACACTGTTAACGGCTCAACCAATGTTAACGTAAAATTTTTCTACGTCTCGAATATTTCTCACGAAACAAAAATCAGGACTATCGGATAGGGCAATTAATGGTTTGTGCTTTTCAAAATTTTATTTTAAGAATAATAACTTTTAAGTATTAAATATTTTTTATATTATATATTTTTATTTTTAAGTTATTTTTGTCATTTATTTTGTGTTAATGTTAATTTCTTTAAATGTTTTCTATTATAAAATGTCTACATCGAGTGCAGATCATTTTATAATATTGTCACAATATATTGGTTCATAATAATAACAACAAACCATGCATTTATTATTATATCTTTTTTACAGAAAACATCTGAAACTTTTAGTGTAACCCTGTCACACAAATGGGTCACTCTTTATTATTTATAAACACGCATATAAACTTTGCGAAACATACGGAATGACTTACGATTTCGGGAATTCTAGAAAATTCCGGTTTCTCTTTCCCGAATCCCGGACAGACTCTGGAAACACTTGACAGGCCTGTGTGTGCTCCATGCATGGCTGCGTCTGGAGGCTTTGCTCCACGTACTCACAATCCAGTCATAAAATCGAATATCGTAAATAAAACAGATCTCTAGAGGCTCTTGTAGGCCTATATAAGTATTCTGCATGAATATGATGACAGCGGACAAGCGAGAGGTCTGCCTACCGGCAAACTTACTACACCTGCAAGCAGATGTTTAGTGCTCTATCGGCGCACTGTGTTACCCCAATCTCAGCAGTAGCAATACGATTTTATTGTACAGAGTCATATTCTTCTGAGGCTGAAATGCACAAACTGTGTCCAAAATATCTCAAACTTTGTCCATTCGTGTAAGGAGGAAGTGAAATCATGAGGCAAAATAGGTTTCCATGGCGGGGCCACGGAATAAGGCCCAGACCGGGGCCCACTCAGCCTCCCAACCAAAATAGGTTTCCCTGGCGGGGTCACGGAATAAGGCCCAGACCGGGGCCCACTCAGCCTCGCAACAAAAATAGGTTTCCCTGGCGGGGCCACGGAATAACGCCCAGACCGGGGCCCACTCAGCCTCCCAACCAAAAAGTACCGTGAGCGCCTTCCCTTCTGGTAAAATAGCTGGGGAGTGAAACTGATCACTCACCTCTATCTACTGACAACGTTAAAAATGCGTGACCCTATACCTCCACGCCCCATGCGTCCTCATATTGCTGTGAATTTTTAAGAGCAGAGACAACCACGGGAGGAGAGTGTCACGGATGTAGCCTTGCGGGTTATGTCAGTGTAGTCTTTTAAGCGGAAACAGGGGTTTCGAAAGAACATTCTGCCTCCACTTTCAGGGTAGAACAATGAAACTGCCAGGCGCATAGGTCTTGAAACCAGGGACAGAGAGAATGGAGCACAGGAGATAGCCCGAAAAATGACGCGGCTTAATCTTTAATCCTGAAAATGGTGACAATAGAGTTTTCGAAGCATAGATACCCTTCTACCAAAGTCCACGGCTTCACATCCCAGAAGACCTTAATTTTGATATGTACCGCTGTGAGAACCTGTCATATCACAACGTCATGTTAGCAGTTTAGCCATTACGTATTTCTCCATAAAAAGCGCTAACTATGAATTGTAAATAAAAGTGTACCATGAATGTTTCACATCAGGTTTAAAATGCAGTTTTCAGTTTCAAATGTTCTTTTGAACTTACACTATCTCAAAGGTGCACATTACACAACAAATAAGTACGTGTTATGAAAAAAAATTGTTCACACGTCTGTCGCTGTGTACAGGGAGGTGTTCTGGGATTTAACGGAGGAAGTCGGACGTTTCGGAGGAACGTATCGCCTATATTTTCAGGGCAAGCTGCCTCCGACTCAGTTCACTATAAAGATTCATCAGCCCTGGCTCTCATTCCCTGCATGTAATGTATTTTTAATTTTGATTCGATAATGACTTCCCAAAAAGTCTGAAATTATCGTCACGGAACAGGTTGGTGTAGCAGTAACTGTCTCTCTATTTGTATTCGGGAGGTGCTGGTTTCGAATTTAGTCCGGAACACCTGCAATTCCGACCGAGTTTTTCGTGGTTTTCCCCAGTCACTTAAGACAAACCCCTGAGTACTTCGATTAAACCGTGGACGCGTCTGTCCAATTTCTTTCGAATTCATCGTTCATCATTCACCCTGAAATCTGACGATATATCTTCACTGCCGTTAGCGTCGTTAAATAACCAAACCTTTTGAAGCCAGAATATTTATTCAAAGTATAACAATAATACCAATAACGATGTTGGCGACTTGCCTGAGGCGGGATGACGACTAGGAGGCCCGCGAGCAGCAGGAGGGCCGGCGAGGATTTACACAGCCACATGTCGGCAGGCGAAGACACAAGCCGCGATGTGCCAACCGTTGCTATGACGCTCCGACGTCTAGCGACGCTGCGGGGCACGACGCCTTTATGAGCTATTCGGTCGCGACGAGTGGTAGCGTTTTGCGCATACTCGGGAACTCCTAACACCCTCCTCCAACCGCCCCCCAAGGAAACTACTTGTTGTGCGTAGTGCAGTTCATTACGTCATGTACGACATTTCATATTGATATTAGCTTCACGTGATTGTATTTGCAGTTTTATAATTAATATTTTCAGCCTCAAAAGAACTCATTAATTTTTTCTATCACTTTATTTACGTTTCCGATGTTTTAATATTTGTTTCTGTCGCACTTGATTGCCGAATTTTATTTTCGTTCCCTGATGAAAACTGTAAAATTAATGCGCCATGTCTGTATGTCGTTCTGTTCGCATGTAACAACTCGAGAACAACTGAATAGATTTTTAGTAAATGTTTGTATTGTCGAATTTAACTAAACTTTGTAGGATTTGCGGCACTCGTAGCGGTGGTTATGGAAAGTTTTATATTCTGGGATATAACACATAACCCATTGAAAGTCAACCGACGTTTCGTAGTAATATACCTCCGTTTTTGTTACCTGATTCAACTTGTTTTTTGCTTGGCTTATCCTTCGGAGAAAACCCGCCCCAGCGCAACTTTGTCCACCACAAATCCCACTTGACCAGACCCGGGATCGAACCCGGGCCACCGCGGAGGGAAGCCAGCTACTAACCACTTGAGCTATGGCGCGGCCCCAGCTGACATTTGCTACTGGCGTTCCTTGATCATACACCAGCCAACTCCTTTACTCTATTTGTAATTGCATACAAGAGCCTAGCGTTCAGGAACTGAAGATAAAAGAAAAATAACAGAGTGAACCGCCTGAACTGTTACACTGTTTCCTAACTTGTTTTATTACCGACACGTTTGGCTGAGCCGTAATGCGACTTGTCTCCCCGAAGCCCGAAATCTAAAGGCGCGTCCACATTACTTGTGCTCGTGCTCGTAAATCTTCGTCCACACTACTTCAGTTGCTCGTCAAGCTTCAGCGCCTGAGGATCCGTATATTTACACGTAGTGTGTATAGGCTGTAGTCGTATTTTAATTTATTGGCTATAGTTTTTAAATTAAGAATTTAAAATTTGCTTGTCTCGCGACTTGTCATATCGTCTACATAACTCGCGAGCATAGCGAGTCACACGAGCACCAGCACGAATAATGTGGACGCGCCTTAAGAAGACGCTTGAACAGTGATAGCTCAGGCGGTTAGTCGCCGGTTCCCACCGCGGCGGCCCGGATTCGAGTTCAGGCCAGGTCATGTGAGATTTGTGGTAGACAAGGTGACACTGGAGCAAGTTTCCTCCAAATATTTCGGTTTCCCATGCCAATTTTCATTCCTCCAGTGCACACAGTGTTGCCTACCATCTGGGGCTGGTACAGTAGGCCCACCAGTAGCTCGCGTGCCAAATGGACTCAGTCTCACCTACCATCCAGGGCTGGTACAGTAGGCCCACCAGTGGCTAGCGTGCCAAATGGACTCAGTCTCGCCTACCATGAGGGGCTGGTACAGTAGGCCCACCAGTGGCTGGCGTGCCAAATGGACTCAGTCTCGCTTCATACCACAGAACTAAAAAACGAAAAAGAAAAAAGTTCAGAAATTCTTCTCTGAACAGACCGAGGAAAACCACGGGTAACACCAGACATGACTGTCGGTAACGTGACCATCACTCGAACCAGGGGGTTACTTCTGAAGCAAGAAAGGGGGCGGAGCTTATGTTGGACCTATTTAATGACGCCGTATGAACTAGATACACTAGTTCAGTATGATATGAGACAATCGTATTCGATGCAGACTGGGAAGGAGCCGGTTGTGGGGGTAGTTGTAGGTTATTTTGTGACGATTTCAGCATCTAGGCTATATAGCGTCAGTTGGCAGGATGATTATGGAAAGCTGAATAGGAAAGGAGGTACCAAGAAAAACGACGAAAAAACCCTGAGTTTGGATAGCCGGGTGTGCTGACCGGGATTCGAATTTAGAACCTCCGGAATGTAGATCTAGAGCGTTATCGCTAGACCAGGCAGCTCGGGGCAGTTGTGGCCTTCCAGTAGGTACTATCCTGGCTTTAGCTTTGAGGTACTGAGGAGAATCACGATGAACCTCATGAAGAGCCGTGTCCGGTAACAGTTCAGAGGGACATGCGCATGCTCTGTGCGAGCGCTCGGTTGCTACGAGCTGAACAAGTGGATTTAACCTCCATTCTGCATTACAGTTTGTAACACGTTTGAGATATTCCAGCGGACCCAGAAGTAAGCAACTTGTTTCGGAAACACTCTGTAGCCACAAGTCACGTGGCGCTCACGGCATTGAATTTCTCAGCACATGCAGTTTTATTATGTTCCGAAATTAAATGTCGTAAGTGAAAAATTACCGCTTTTTTTAAATGACAAACTGCTAAAGCTGTAAGCGTCTCATGAAGGTGGCCAACGATGTAAAGAGGAGACTCTGAATAGGCAAAGCGACGACTTCTGTTTTGTAAGCACTGGGATAAAGCAGTTTCGTGTTACCATAGGAACGAATTGTGCAGCGTTAACTCTCATGTAAGTTATGTAGCAGGTCACGAACCTCATACCACTCGACTCTATACAAACATACCCATATATACAGATACCCCACAAACGAGTAGTCTAGACCGAACCGCTGCAACATAGTGACATCAAAACAGGAAGCAGAACGTACACACATCATCATAAGAAAATCTAATATACATGAGTACATATACTTATTGCCGGTCACGGTAGCCGAGCGGTCTAAGGCATGTACTGTCTTCGCTCGCTTGGAAACCGGGATCGTGGGTTCGGATCTGTTTCCTGTGAGGTACGAACTGAATTCTTATATACACGTCTTATTCTTA